TACACAGAGGAGACGAGAATAAATAAAAGGATTGGTTAAGCTTAATTTGAAGATGAGAAGTGTTAAAGACAAGAAGACCTCAAAAGTAAAAGTATTGTGTCAATTTGTATTTTCAATTTTCTTGTGTCTTATAATATTTGTATAGGTATATAATGGGAAAACAACCAAGCACATACACACACATGAATGTAAGAAAAAGAAGAAGAAAATTAGAAGTTAATTAAAATAATTGGTTCTCTAACTAATAATACTATATGATATGAATCGTGATGTATCATAAGAGTGAAATTTTTACAAAATAAGATAATCAAATAGCATTATTTAATAGAAAATTAAAATCAAAATTTTATATAATAATCATGCTATATGATATATTTCTTTCTATATGATTTGATATTTATATTGAAACATGATCTTATCTTCTTTTTGTCAAAAATAGGTAAATTTAAAATTTAACTAACTATACTTTATGATCATGTTTAAAGTAGATAAATTTTTAAGATATTTAGCTATTTTGTTATTAAAAATTGCGGGATCAAATTCATACAAAATTTAATCTTATACAATATATATCATACAACTTGAAATAGAGACAAAATTCATACCACCTTAGATCAAATAGGCTAAACAAATACCTTGAGTTTACATATTAAACTAATCATATTATACATTTTTTATATTGTACCCTTTGATATAATAGTGGATAGCATTTATGGTTCAAGCAAATTGAACTAATTAAAATGTATGATTCTTGTATTGCATTATATAATTGTATTGTCAATTTTCTTAAACAACTTAATTAGGGTTCTTTTTTATATTACTTCTAAATATTACTTTTATATTAAAATATAATTTTCTGAAAGGAAGATAAGTTCAAATATTTTTAGAAAATAGGAAGAATTTTTAAGGAGTGTGGAAAGGATATATTAGAGAGAACTTGAGAGTAATATATTCTAAAAGTCTAAAAGATTTGAGTGTGAGGTTCTTGATCTTTGCATGCATCATAAAGCTTAACTAAATGTTGAGATTAGTTGAGTCGACATTAAACGCAAGTGCATGTGTTGATCAAGTAATAAAGTTTAGAATAGTAAGTCGATCCCATGAGGAAACTAAACTATCTTATGTTCACCATAGTACTGTCTAATTGAGTTACAAATTTTATCTTACCAAATCCAATCGAATGTAGATTCCTATAACATTATTACTACAAATGCTAAAAGAAGAGATTTCATAAATTTAAAGAGTTCTAAACTTATGATGGTGATAAATGTAATGTTATCCTAAGATTACTCTTCTAATGTTAGTTGAATCAGAGCAAATGCACTCTTAGATCTCTATAAAGCCTATAAGAGTTTGAAGTAAACTTTTCATCCTACTACAACTATTTTATCACATAAGTTTTATATTTTAATTAACCTAATTGTTCAATCATTTCTTGATCAATTCAATGAATCACCCTATATTTAGATTAGAGCATGGCCATTATATGATCTAATAAAATGTAGGAGTAATTGAAAACAACATTCAATAGTTTAAGTTCAAGAGACCACTTAAGTAAAGCATATATTATCTCACATCATAAGTCAAAAAAAGATTTTATTTATTTAATAATAAAATAGAAGAGTAAATGGTGTAAGATATCACCTGAAATCTTTTTTAAAAGCACAAATAAACACTATAGAAATTCTGGAATGATTTTGTTGAAGTATAAACTCTCCTCCCACTTTGCACTTGCTCAAAATCTATTTTGCTTATATTATAAATGGTTAGCCCTAAAAAATAGAAAAAAAACTATGTATATTTTGTACACAAACTGATATTGGAGCTATAAAATTAAAATATAGGTGATGTGTTGCTACTAAATGAACTAGCTCTCCAATTCTTACTATTGGTCTCCACTGAGGCATTGGGATGAATCAAAATGAGGCTTGAGATTTGAATCACTTCAACTCACTCATCATGGGGCTACTGCTATTTGACATCGTTGTTCACCATGGCACTATGATGTTCAATATTAAGTGATGTTGTAGTGCTTTCTTACGTTAGGGTGCTTCAGATAATGATGTTCGGGCTTGAATTAATTATGATTTTTCCTAAACTTAATGGAACCACAGTGCTCTAGATTTTTGATGGATGACTAATAATTTTGTGGCACATTATATTTTAGAGCCAAGGCACTAAATTTATTTATGAAATCTTAGAACTCAATGGTGCCAAAATGCTATAGATTTTTGTTGGGCATTAATGGCGCTATAGTGTGTAATGTCAGGTGCTATGGAGCAAAAAAAAAATCTCATTTTTGGCCATTTTCCTAGAATTTCATTCATAACATTAAAAAAAAATAAATATTTCACAATAAATATATACAAATAAATATTATCATAATTTTTGTTTAATAAATTATCCCCATCTTAAGCTATTGCTTATCCTCAAGCAATTCCAATGCACTCAACTTCTCTTTATGAAATTGCATGTCAAAAAAATTAAAAGTAGAAAATACTTCACTAAATTATGTTAATTACAATAAGGAAGTACTTTAAATTTTCAATTAAATCAAATTAGATACGGGGCATCACAATTGGTATCAAATTATAGTTTTTGAAAGAATATATTATTTTCAAAGCTATAGAATTTGGTTATGAGTTGTGTAAGATGGGTACTTTAAGGTGTATTAGTTTGCATAAATAGTTGAATGACATGTGATAGAATGAACTGCATGACTATATAATTTTTTATGAGTTTTGATTTGATGTGAGATTTGATTAAATGAATTTGGATTATATTGATTTTATGCCTGAATCTTTAAGGGAAATGTCAGGGATGAAATTTTCTTAAGATGGGTAGATTGACCGGTATTTTGACCGAAGTACATAATTGTTTTAGGAGTCAATATGGCTCCAAATCATAAACCATCTTTACTATAGTGTTGCTATTGTAGTATTTTAACTACAAAATTTTGTTTTTATAATTTTTGGGCATTGTAAAAAATTCTTAAGAAATTAGCACCTATCAGTACAAGTGGGGATTTTCGGACCTTCAAATATATATTTTGTAAACTAATTTCACAAATATGTTTTTTATACTTTTTAAAGCCCAATTTGATTTATATGAATTTTATATTGAAAATTTAATTAAATTAAATTATTATATTAACATTTTTTAATATTTTATTATTAATAACTATATTAACTTAATAACTTTTTAAATCCATTTTTTCTTCTTGATTTTGATAACATAGAATGGCTTGCAATTTTTTGAGAGAAATGAGAGGAGAGAGAAATTAAAAACTAAGATTTGGAGGCTACTGAGCAATTTTTATCAAACGTTGTAAGGAACCATAACCTTATTTTTATTTAAAATATTTTATGTTTTTGTCATTTTTCTAGTCAAAATTAAGTTTTCATTACCAGAAAATGTGAATAACTTTGTTTTTTTTTTTTTAAGAAAATAACTTTGTGTTGGCAAAACTTTCACAGCATAGCTTTTTGTATGTTATAGAGATTAAGATTATGATATTTTGAGTATTTATTTAAGATCTTTTACTAGGTGATTTTGAGAATATAGCAATTTTTTTTTACTCAGAAATTTATTTTGATGTCTAAAAAGAATGATTTAGTTCAACAAAATCTTCAGAATATTATTTTATGCAATATTTGATAATTTTGTCAAATTCTAGAAATGTGAATTTTTTCTTAATATGATTTTTGTTCTCTACTATTAGGACATTTTGATATTTTTTGAATTATGCTTAATTATGCTTTATTTGCTACAATGTATTATAAATGAATGTGGATATGTTATTGAGTAGTAGTTGGTCACTATTACAACTATAATATTGTAATAATAAAATATGTGTAAAAGATAAGTAAAGACTAGTTTACCCATTGGTTGGAAATTAATTGGCATGTACATGATGGTGGGTCGACGGATTTCCTTTAAATAAAATGGTTTGGTGTTATCCTCTACTAGTTCATATGATACACTGGTTGGGAGTTAGAGGAGATTATTACTATGATGACGGGCAAAGAGTGATGACTCTATTTACTAAGTTAAAAGTTTAATAATACTGATACTAACACTGAAAAACACCATGATAGCCAGGACATCTTACTTTTTTAGTGTGACTACTAAAATGCATTTTTTGAAACATTTTTCTTATAAGTGTATGGATTTATTAGTATTGCATTATTCTATTACTTCTACCACTAGATTATTATTTTTATCGATCTAGGTTCTGATACTATTTGATAATATTGATTCAATGTACTTAATACTAAGCATGTGATATATTCTGATATATGAGGTTTAGATAACATGTGCATATTTTTATAAAATATTATTGCATCGATTTAATTTTGATAGTTTTTACTGATATTTTGATTTGATGTTTTATCTAATTACTAAGGCATGACTGATTTATAAATTTGACACTCATACTGGGTTACTATTTTACCAACTATTATACAGTAGTGTTTTACTATTATATATTCTACTATTATTATATTTGAGTTTTACTATTCTTGCATTTATCTAATGATCATATGATTACTACTACTATTATGATTTGATCTCTGACATGCATATTGCTCTTTTACTATGCTTTAAATTTAGTTGTAGGTTTTGGTGATCTGCTGAGCTTTCTAAGCTCATTATATGTGGTTAAATGATTTCAGATCAAGGCAAGGGAGCAGAAGTATAAGGTTGGTATGGATTCTTCAGGTTCTATTTCTTTTTATTTTTCTTTTATACTCATGGCATAATAGTTATAATATAATTATATAGATCTTGAGTATTATATATAAATTTTGGGAATGAATATAAATATATACATTAATGTTTTAAATTATAGGTTGTGATGGACTGATGGGGGAAGTAGAAGAGAGTAAAGAGGCGTTTGGGGAGGAGTAAAAGGGGCTGCTAGGGTTTTTCTTTCTTCTCTAGCCGCCGCCTCCGTAGTTTCTGCTCTCCTCCCCGCCTCTTCCGGCTTTGCCGGAGGAGCGATGGCCTCCGCTCCTTCTTCCTCTCCTCCTCAGGAGTTCCCACCCCTCTCTTCCAAGGTTTCTGTTCCCTCTTTTGCGCCAGCTCTCAGCTACAGAAACGTTGTAGCTTCCCCTCGTCCGGGAAATGCTTTTAAGCTTTCCTCTACCGTTTTGCCTGACGATCCCTTGGATTTTAATGAAGCTCAGGTGAAAGCTGCAAAGGATGAATGGGGCTTATCTTTGATAGGTTATTCAATTGGTAGACGACCATACTACGAGTCCTTGCTCTCTACCATGCGTAAGTCTTGGAAACTCAAAGGTATGATGAAATTACTCTCGCTGAGTGATGGTTTTTTCATGCTTAAGTTTACTGCGCATGAGGATTTTTATATGGCTTTGGCGGGGGGTGTTTGGTTTTTTTTGGGAAAACCTTTCGTCTTGCAAAAATGGAAACCAAACTTCAAACCGGTGAGAGAAGAATTCTCCTCTGTTCCTATTTGGTTCAAAATCATTGATCTTCCTCTTCCCTGTTGGACTCCTGAAGGCATTTCGAGAATAGCGAGTAAAATTGGGAAACCATTGGTGGTGGATGATCTCACAGCGGAAAAAACACGACTCACATATGCCAGGGTCTGTGTCCAGGTCGCTAAAGACTGCTCTTATCCGGAAACCATTCCCATTTCCATTCTTGGTGAGGCGTTTACTCTTAAAATTCAATATGAATGGAAACCAATTCCTTGTCAACATTGTGGATCCATTGTTCATTCCCCAGATTTCTGCCCTACAAAACCCTCCTCTGCTCAGGCAGAATCTCGTATTCCTGCTAGGGGAAGAAGTCAAAGCCGCAAACCGCCAAGACCGGACAACAGGAATAACACAAGCAATCCTCCAAAGCAGAATCTTTCATCTGGTTTAGCTGAAGGAATCATTTCTGCTACAACTTCACTACCTTCATCTCATCCGATTACTGACCAGCCAAAGGTCAGTAACAACCAACAGTCTTCAATCAATACTCCTTCCACCTCGCAGATTACGCCAGTCACCATTCCACCCAGCAACACTCAGTCATCTGTATCTCACATTCCGAATCTAAATTCGCCAACTGACGAGGTAGTCAATCCTAATTTGGTCATTCTGGCTAATAAGTAACAAGAAAAGGTTATATCACCTAACAAATTTGCTTTATTGGGGGAAAATATTAATGATAATGCTCAGACGTCCTCTTCTTCTTCCAGTCAAGATCAGTCTAGGAATATTCAGCAAGTGCAAACAAAAGCTTCTAGGAGTAAAGCAAGCAAAAAAAACTCTTAACCACTCTTCAAAATCTTAATGATCCCCCCTCGACTGGCGGCTTGGAATGTGAGAGGTTTCAATAGCCCAGAAAAGGTTAGGGCTTGTAAGGAGTTGGTTCAATGTCACAATCTTGATCTCATCTGTGTTTTGGAAAACAGAATCCATAATAAATCTTTCTCTGATCCTTGGTTTCGCCTGAACCACGAAATTTTTCCGAATGAGGACAGCTGCCACAATTTCAATTTGTCCATCTCTGGTAGGATTTGGATAAAATGGAACTCAGATCATTTACATTTCATCACTGCCTTCTTTTCTTCTCAGTTAATCTCGGGCAATCTGTATAAAGGCTCTGAGCTGTTTGTGTTTCTACAGTAGTCTATGCCTCTAATGATCATTCGGAGAGGCTTCAGCTGTGGGATAATCAGGACTTGGGGGCAACATCTCCTCTCCATGGCTTATTCTGGGATTTCAAATTGTTTTTAAACCCCAATGAAAAGTCGGGGGGGACTCCACTTCTTTCTTCTCAACTTGTGGACTTTAACTCTCTTATTTTTGATATGAGTTTATTTGATTTAGCATCTTCTGGCTTGAAGTACTCTTGGTTCAATCAAAGACCCAATGACCCTATTCACTTGAGGTTGGATAGGATGCTTATTAATGATAAATGGTTGGAGTTTTTCCTTCTTCTAAGTATGAAGTTTTCCACCTTCTTGTTCTGATCACTCCCCCATTGTCCTTCAATGCAATGTTATCTGTTATTGGGAATCATAGGTTTCTCTTCAAAATTTTTGGACTAAACAGGAGGAATTTTGGCATGTCTTACTTAGTATTTTTTCCAACCCATCAAAGGCAATCCCATTTTAGGGCTCTATAATAAGCTAAAAATGCTCAAGTTGAGGCTTAAAGGCAAAGATTGGACAAATTCTTCTATTTTGTCAATTCAATTCAATTCTCTCAAGGAACAACAATCTACCTGTTTGGGTTTACTTACAATGATCCTCAAAACATTGACTTAAACCGACAGCTGAAAGGTATCAATTCTCAACTGGCTGATGCTCCTCATCTTGGACTAATTGGATGCTTCAAAGGGCTAAACTTAAATGGCTTTCTCAAGGGAAGATGATTTAAAATTTCTTTATGCCAAAATTAGGAGAAGAAGGAATATATGCTCTTCTAATCTTCTATCTACGGATGATTCTAATGTTAGGAGTACATTAGTCAATTCCATCATTGAGCATTTCCAGAATTTATTCAATGCTCCTAAACCTATTGCTTGCTGTGATTCTCTGCCAATCCCGGAAGGTAATATCATTCCTCCTCACCTTGCCTCTTTACTCATAGCTCCTGTTTATGATGAAGACATCAAGGCTGTCATTTTTCATGTGAAATTCTAACTCGGCCCCGGACCTGATGGGTTCAATTTTGAGTTCTTCAAGCAACCTGGCTTTTTACTGCCCTTTAGTTTGCAAAGCAATCAAATCTTTTTTCTCCAAAGGGTACCTTCCCAATTTTATTAAAGCTTCGGCTATTGCTCTAATCCCTAAAACTGCTCATGCTTCTAACATTACAGACTTTAGGCCGATTGCTCTCTGTAATGTTTTTTACAAGATCATCACCAAGATTATGGCAAATAGAATGAAAAATATCATGCCTTTGATCATTGGGGAAAATCAAGGAGGTTTCATTAAACACCGTCTATTTATGTACTGACAATGCTCTTCTTGCTTCTGAAATTCTTCTGGAATTCAAAAAATCAGCCAATAAGAAACTTATGTGTGCCAAGCTTGACATCCGTAAAGCGTTTGATTCAGTGTCCCGTGACTTCATCCTTAACAGAATGAAACAAAAAGGTTTCCCATTGGCCTTCATTAATTGGACTAAAACATGTATTTCTGATGTTCCTTTCTCTATCAGCATTGATGGAGCTCTAGAAGGTTATTTTCAATCCTCTTCGGGTATTAGGCAAGGATGCCCGCTCAGCCCCTACCTTTTCTGTATTGCTATGGATGCCTTCACTTGCTTGATTGATAATCCTAATGCGGCTGATAAATTTCATGGAATTCACAAAAAGGATCTGGTTGTGTCCCATTTAATGTATGCGGATGATCTTCTCATTTTTGGGGATGCAACGACAAAAAATTGTAAAATTCTGGTTGATATTCTGGATGATTTTGCTAATCTGTCTGGGCTTAAGGTTAACCATGAGAAAAGCAATCTTATCATCTCAAAACCTATTGGAAATCCTTTACATATTGCTCAAGCTCTCAACATTTCTTCTTTTGGGGACAAAATGATTTACCTTGGGATCCCAATTTCTATCAGGAAACTGTGCAAGGCTGATTTCCAGCCACTGCTGAACACGATTTCTAACCATCTGGCAGGTTGGAAAGCTAGACTGCTGTCTTTCGCTGGAAGGCTACAATTCATTAAATATACGATATGCAACACCATTACCTACTGGATTAGGGGTACCATGCTTTCTAAGACTTGCATTAAAAACCTGAATAGAATGTGTTCTAGATTTCTTTATTTTGGTGATGTGGAAGCTAGGAAATTATTTCTGATTGCCTGGAATAACACCTGCAAACCCAAGCATTTTGGTGGGCTGGGTTTACCGAACCTTTTTGGGCTGCAATTTGCTAATTATTGCTCTTTGGTGTTCAGATTTTACAATTCCCAAACTCTGTTTTTTAAATTTCTATATGCCAACTACGGCACTCCCTGGACTCCTGCTAGTGGAAAACCATCTTCTCTTTGGAATGCCATGTGTAACACAGCTGATCAGATTAAGCCCATTATTAGCTTTAACCTTAAACCTAATTGTATGGTTTCTTTTTTCTGGGACCCTTGGCTTAATGGGAAATCCATTTTGGAGGACCCTGCAAACCATTATCTTCAATCAATGCTGCCTTCCCAGGCTTCGGTTTCGGATTTTCTGAACTTTTCTGGGCACTTATTACAAAATCAGATTGCTGTGTTTGTGGCCACTTCCTTTATGCAGAATGAGCATGGTTTTAAAAAGTCACTTTGCTGGGACAAAAGAGATGTTGTTTGCTTTTCTGATTTTATTAATTACTTCTATCGAAATGACACCCAAGTAGATTGGTGTAACTGGGTATGGCATAAACATTACGCCTTGAGGTATACGACTTACACTTGGTTAGCTCTAAACAATGGGCTTAAAACTGCGGAGGAGCTTATAAGAAGAAATATTTTGGTTAACTCCACCTGTGCCTTATGTGCTTCCAATTTTGAATCCAACAGCCATCTCTTCTTTGAATGTGAATATGCTTTCACTGTTCTGAAATTTCTTTTCCCTATGGTGGGAGAATTCCTTCTTAGACCTCGGCTAATCCAAGTATTATCTTTCTTGGGAGAAAGCCTTGTTTTGACAAAAAAAGAAAAGGAGTTTTATCTTATCACAGTGAGCTGTTCAACTTACTTCATTTGGCGTGAAAGAAATGAGAGAAGGTTCAATTTCAAATATAGATGCTCAAATACACTCTCTCTGCTTATTAAAAATGTTGTGGAGGCTAAATCTTGCAATTGGTATCAGGGAAGCAGTTGATTTTCCTTTTTGTTGTTGGATTGGAAAACCTACGCCGGGACTGTAGTCTGTTCCTTTGATTCTGGTGGTGCTTATAAGTTGGAAAGGTTTTTGTTGCTCCAGCATCGGTTTGTTTGGCTGGGACATTATTTCTAACAGTTGTTTTTTGTGATTATGCTGCTTCCCTGCCCTGGAGAATTGGTTGGCTCGTTTCGTTACTTTTCTGGACGATGATGTAGCTGCTAATCTTCTCCTAGGAGGGCCTTTCTTTTTGGGAAACCAGGAGATTTTCGTGGGTGCCGCTTCGATCAAATTTTCGGATTAGCAGTCTGAGTCCTTAGGTGTTTTCGCACCTCATTTTGTGGACAGTTTTGCTGTAATCTTCTTTTTGTCTTGGTGGGGGGTATAGATTTTTTGGTTTTGCTTCTTGTTTGAAGTGTAAACCTTTTTTGTTATACCTTACTTGTAACCTTTTTTACATAGTAATATATGGGCTTTGCCCTCATTTTCCCCAAAAAAAAAATGTTTTAAATTATAAAATTTATTTTATTGTTTATTATATAAAGATGATATTAGATAACTCGAGTTATTTTTTATTTTAAGATAAATAAGTAATTCTTTCAAATTAGATTCTAGGGCTTCACATGAATGCTTTTATTTCTTTCCACCCATTACTTTTAGATTCAAGAAAGAAAAAGTATACAGTTTCAAATTCTATACTCAATAAGGATTGATATGGATAGAAAATTAAATTTTTAACTTACCTTTATAATTTCATAAGCATAGAAGCATCAAACTTTTAATTTTAAATCATTGTGGCATGACCAAGTGCAACGACGCTATAAGCAGTGTTGGGGTGCTACCTTTACTTATGTAGGTTTTTTTAACTTTTAACTACAATTGTTAAATCTAATCTACTATGCACATAACAAATTAAAAGTTGGGTTGCCTCCCATACAACATTAAATTTATAGTCATCAGCTAAACATGCTTATATTTATCAATTTAGTTGGGGTACAGTTATACCAATCCTCAAATGATTATCACTTAGATGTATTTTTCTTTTTTCTATGTCTTAACTTCAATATCACTTGTAAATGATCAAAGATTCTACTATTGATATAAATTGCAAGCTTACTTAATTAGGTTTCAAAATTATTTATAGAAGTTGTTTGATTTTGAATATTAGTGTCTAACTACATCACTATATCTTCCAATGGTGGTTTTTTGCTTTCAAACTAATTGCTTTGGTTAAATACTGGATTATATATAGGTCTAAAATTATAAATAGGTTGCTAAGGATTATTCT